GAGTGGGACTTTCCTTTTGCCTGCAGAGCCAGTGCATTCCTCTTGCCCTAGTGATTACAAATAAAACGAAACAACTAAGAGTTGCCCAAACTTTCTAGAGCATGCTATTTCCCTATAACAAGTAAAATGTAGTGCAAGATATGATCCTTTCTAGGTCTTATCTTTCATGGTGGACCAAAGCTGACTTTAAAGTTGATTTGTGAAGGAAACAGAAATGAGGCTGAAGCCTGTATTTGTTTCTTGGCAATGGATACAGAAGGCCTGAACGAAACAACTAAGAGTTGCCCAAACTTTCTAGAGCATGCTATTTCCCTATAACAAGTAAAATGTAGTGCAAGATATGATCCTTTCTAGGTCTTATCTTTCATGGTGGACCAAAGCTGACTTTAAAGTTGATTTGTGAAGGAAACAGAAATGAGGCTGAAGCCTGTATTTGTTTCTTGGCAATGGATACAGAAGGCCTGAAAAGTTGTGTTTTCTTTAAAAATTGGTTTACTTTGGTTTTGATACCTTGAAGATATAAAAAATGCCAGGCCTAGTCTTCTCTGGTTTTGCTGGAACACTTGGGTTTCAGATGTGTAGTTTGTGAATATCTGCAGGGTTATGTTCAGCGATAGATGCAGATTCAGATTTTGTAGCTAGAGCCCTGAAAAGCATATCCGCTTTATTTCTGTGGATTGCATGCGGATACAAATTTTGTATCAGAGCAGTGCTCTACAGATGTGAGCTGAAAACTGTCTTGCTTCTATTTGAAACTTGTGTGTGTAATGTTGTTCATTTAATTCAAATAACTCCTAGAACATTAACAAAAGCAAACCAACCATCCTTCTACCCTGCATTTCAGATCGGATTAAGAATATCTTTCTTTGTTTTAGTTCTCAACTTTTATGACCTTAGAATTCTTAGTTCTATGGCCAATCATTAAGCTCCAGGGTAGAGAAGACCTCCGTTTTATTGTAATAAGCAGCCAGGAAATTAAAAAAAAAACAAAAACCTTTTGGACCATCTTCATACAACCTAAAGAAAGAAGGGGTCGAACCCCTAATTTTTGTACTTGACTCAAGGTCACCTTTATCACCGCCAGTATGCAGAGGGTGTTTGAAAAATTGGTGTACTATGTTAAGGCATAACTCGTTATGGGGACTGCAAACAAGAGACTGGACTGAGCTCTCAAGGAGTAATGGGTTTAGTCTGAGAGCTATAGCTGACATTGTTTAATGAGATACCCATGGCACCCTTCAGACTTACACCACTGAGAACAAATAGTGCAGCATACCTCAGACACTACTAACCTAAGTACAACCCATACCACACAATGCAGCAGCCTACTCTTTGCTTCCATGTGTCCTCTGCCTCCGGGAATGCCTTAGCTTTTCCTGTGACACAATTATTTTTAAGCAGGTATTGACTGCTCCTTTTTTCTTGGCAGCCAATGGATTCCATGCACGAGAAGGGAATAACTGATGATCCTCGGTACAGCCAGATGAAGGGGATGGGAATGAGGCCAGGCGGGCACGCAGGAATGGGTCCTCCTCCAAGCCCAATGGATCAGCATTCTCAAGGTCTGTGTTTCTCCTGGGCGAGGGGCCTGAGTGAGATTTGCAAGCCAGTTTCTGAAAAGGGGACTGAACCTCAGTCTAGTTTCCGTGGTGTTTCCTGTTGCAGTGGGACTTGTCGTGGGATAGTGAGCGGCTGTAGTAGCATCTCATTTTTGTGAAAGGCCATCTGTTGTTTGCTGTGCTCTTGTGTTCTGCCACGCCGAGTCCAGTTGCTACACAAAAGGGCATCTGGTGTTCTGGCATAGCCACATACAGCAGAAAGTTCCCCAAAGGATACCCAGCCGTGTCCTGTAATTCCCTCGGCTGCCACTGAAAGTGCTCCTGTGTTCCCTTTGTCACGGACATGGCAGTGGTTCAAGTGGCTCTGGGGAGAGGGTGGTTTTATTACCGAGAAAATAAATCTACATGCAGGGACCAGATGGAGAACGCAGCAGGTAAGAGACGTGCAGCTCTTCACTGCCACCAGCATGTCTGCGACCCTTCCCTAAACAGATCTTTGTAAAGCTTCAAATGGGATTTTTGTTTTCTTGTAACCCTTTAGTTCCAGGCAAGTTTGGTGCTATTCCTCTCATTGGGAGCCCTGGTTAAAGCAGTTGCTACATCCATTAAGAGTGCTTACCTAGCTCCCCTCAGAAGTGTTTTTAAAATGACAGCAGCCTTTCTGTAGTATTAAGGCTACAGCATGCTGCAATAGAATTGCACCTTTTTTCCAGGTTACCCTTCTCCACTCGGTGGTTCTGAGCATGCATCAAGTCCAGTTCCAGCTAATGGTCCATCCTCTGGCTCTCAGATGTCATCTGGTCCTGGAGGAGTCCCGCTAGATGGTACCGACCCACAAGCATTAGGGCAACAGAACCGGGGCCCAACCCCTTTTAACCAGAACCAGCTGCACCAGTTAAGAGCTCAGATCATGGCCTATAAGATGCTTGCCAGAGGGCAGCCTTTAT